AAGAGTCGATATCAAAGAAAGAGTGGTTCCAATAGGCAGAAAGGTTATGGCACTGCAACTACATGAACCACCTTCCTTACACAACATAAAAAATATTCTAATATTAAGGACTATTTTACAACTCAGTGGAAATATGCAGTAATGCAATCCATTTCCTTTGTCTGGATGACAAAAATGCAGTCTTAACAGTCACAAGAGCCCGCCTTGTGTTACCTATAAAAAAAAATATATTTATATATATATTTATGCAACTACTATGTGCATTAAACAAAATCACTGTATGATTCAGCAGGGTTCAATAACACTTGCATCTGAATCTCTGGGAGGGGTGCATTGAAGTCTGTGGTGCTTCTCAGTAAGGACTCACAATGAAATGGTAAAGGATAGAAACACATTTGTTTAAAATCTTATTTTTCATACCACATTGCCCAAGAAATGGTCCATAAGATCTCTGGCAGTTAAAGGGATCTGTTGCCTTTACTTCAGCCTACTGCTCAGAAATGAAAGATATCCCTTGAAACAAACCTGATAATTAATTTTTAGTGAACACTGAAACTCAAAAATCAGCCCAATTTCATTGTGAACTCCCATGAAATAAAATAATTTCACTGTTGTGAAAATTCGCTGTTGTCTTCATTTCTTACCAATTTGTGTATCATGAGTTGTTTAGAAGGATAGTAATCAGCAATGTACAGGAAACATTGTACTACTCCTGGAAAGCATATACACTCTGGCTTGCTTAGTTAGGTGGGTAGGTTACCTTAGAATTGAAGAGCTAGTGTATTTCACATCCACTTGTAGAAATATTTGAAAAATTCAATTTTTTTCTTCTTTACCTACATTGAGATACTTTTCTCAATCACCTGTGAACACTGATCAGTCCTGTTTGCACTGAAAGGGTACAGATTTGTCACTCTGTCTTTGAGATACCAGAGAAGAACACTTGAACCAAAGGGCAACACCCTTGTGCACCAAAGCTTTATTATATTTTTGATTACTGTGCATCCCCATACCTAAAGCCAATAACATGGCACTTGTGCCATACCGCAGGTGTCCACTGACAAGTGTTCTGCATGAACTGTTGTGCTGCAGTCCACTAACAAAAGACCACTGTCCAGTGGTAATCTGGTATCTTAGTTTTTCTTCTTGTACAAAGCTTATCCAAAATCTTCTATCAGGCTACAGCAGCTTAGGGGTCCTTTAAAGAGAGGCAAATAAATGTCTTACACCTGTAGACCAGTACTGGTGTTCTGTCCTAGAAATTTTAGCACTGCTCTGATACGATGAATCCTTCTTTTTCTCCAACTGGTTCCACTTCAGCATAGGCGGGATGTCCAGATCCTCTTCTGAATTTCATTGCTGGCCATCTGCTTGGACGTCGCTGTAACAGCAACAACAAAAGAACAAAGTTTCAGAATATGAAGGGTACAACACTAAATAAGTTTAAAAAAACTTTAACAATGTCCTGTAATTTTGGTCTCTCTCTCATAACAACACCCACTCTGTGTTGTTGTTCCAGGAATGGAGAAGCACAGTTCAGAAGCAAAAGTCAGAGGAGATTAGACATTAGGAAATAATTTTTTCCTGTGAGGGTGGTGAGGCACTGGAACAGGTTGCCCAGAGAAGCTGTGGATGCCCCATCCCTGGAGGTGTTCAAGGCCAGGCTGGATGAGGCTTTGAGCAACATGGTCTAGTGGGAGGTGTCCCTGCCTGTGGCAGGGGGTTTGAACTAGATGACCTTCCAACCCAAGCTATTCTATGATTTTATATTATATGATTCCTCTTTCTAAATTTGTGGGTGATGGCTGTTGTCAAAGACCTAAACAACTGTCACTAGTCCTAGCAATGAAGATGATGAAACAGCTCCTGTCTAAAACCATTAAGCAGTGGATCTGTGAATTTTGTCATAGAAAGACCTCCTGATCCAGCCCCCCCTAAAGTATCTGTCCACTGCTCTTCCTTCCTAGTTCTGCATAAGAACTTGCTAACATACTCTACCCCATGGGACGATGTATAGCAGAGGCCACAGAAACTGTGCTTTTGAAATTATTTGGAAGAAAATCCTGGCATGCTTATGCAGGACTGCCAAAATAATGACTTTCTATTTCAAGTGCCATAATTTCTACTTGAGTCATTTACTTTGTGGGTTCAAATCGAAGCAACATTTTTGTTTAAACTCCTACGACCTTTCGGTAAAAGGGTCATAAGAGGTCCTAATCAATTTTCATTAGGATCTTTGGTGCCTGCTTCAAAAACAGATAATAAACAGAGAAAAGAAATAGATCTTTTCTAGGGCAGATAAGAAAATTCCTATATTATTATAATGCCTCTGGGGAGGAAAAATGCTTTAAAAATCTCGTATTTTCAAACTAATTAATGTCTGGGAAGGCTCAGACTTTGGGTGACCAAGCTGAGATTCTGTCAAAAGGACTAGTTTTCAGGAAAGTAGGGAAACTCTGTGTTAAAGTCAGTTAGCAGAAAAAGCTGTTCTAAAATGATTATTCCCTATTGAAAAAATTATCTGCCAAATATGCTGACACATATTTCTTTTTTTTTTACTGAGAGAAATTACAATCTGCTTGAAAGGAGGGCTGGAAGATATATCAATCTCAGTGGAAATATTGCAGGAAAACAAGAGGAGAAACAGTGAAGATAAGTTATAGACTATATTTTCAGTGACAGTTCAAAATCTAAACAATTTTACTTTATGATCTTTCTTCTGAAAATAAACATTGCATTTGATTTTCTGTCTTCATAATACCCCATTCGCATTGCCTTCTGATCTCTAATGATATTTCATGCTGCTGAGGGGCAGTGTTGGGGACCACAGAACAGCCACAGCCATGACATCATGCGGGGGCTCATGGTGCTGTTGAGCCACTAAAGAAATCTTGGTGGGGGCCACTGAACTTTGTTACCAACAAGCCACATAGCTGTCTGTGGGTACAACACAGTCATCCTTAGTAATCACTGTTAGGAAGACACAAAATAAAAGCAACTGTTTTTTTTTTTTTTTCTCCCATTGCAAGATCAAGTTACTTTTGAGGCATCCAGAGTTAAATTTTGTTTGTCAGGTAATTTAAAATCCCAGGCCTTTCAATGCAACACCTTCCTACCAAGTAGAAAGGCAGAACACTTTAATCTTTAATGGATGGCTTTTCCTAATACGAAAACTTAGTCTATTCAAACTTTGGAGACTTTTTTCTACGCAAGCTTGGTTCAGCGTGGTTTCAAAATTTAGAAGGACAGTTTGGTTACTGCTGAAGAAAAAGGGTCATATTCTGTTCTCAGACTCACTAAAGTAAATCAAGAATAAGTAAATTAAATGAAAAGGACTTATTCCAGATTTACACTGATAGAAATGAGAAAAGAATTTAACCAAGAAGCCTCTAATAAAAAAAGAAAATGAAAAACCATTGGAAAACTAGTAGGAAAAAATAATTAGAAACAGTCTCAAACAGCAGCATATAAGGATGAGCTGAGTTTTTAATTGGCCTTTCCAGATGATGAAATATGGAACAGATGTGCACCAGTTCTAATGATACAATGCTATACAACGTAAACATCAGCTGTTGTTCCAGAAATAAACCAACAGATTTGAAGGTCACTTCCAAATATTACAATTGCAGCTTTCTGTAGCTTCTCTTCAAGCCTGAGGTGAGATTTTCCATTCCTAGTGATATTCTGTTTAATTTCAACTCCTTTGTGTGCATGTGGGTACTGTTAGTGGTTGCCAGTCTTAAAAGAGAGCACTGACAAGCAATCAGTTCATTGACGTGTATTGATCCCTCAAAAGATGTAAAGATATTACAGTTTTAGCTGATAAAACCAGAAGTAACTTAATTGATACTGGAAGATACACAGCTCCTTGAGTTACTGAAGCAGCTCAGGAAATGCCTATTGCATTTTCCCCCTTTATTCTCTGCAAAGCAGAGTAATAAGAAAATAGAGCTCCCCGCCCCCCTCCCCCAAAAACCAACCCAAAAAAACAACAAACCACCAAAAAAGCCCAAACACAAAAAACAAACCCAAAATGCCAAACGCAAAACAAACAAAACAGAGAGAAAGCAATTTAATAGGAAAAAATCGGTTTCTTCCTCTGGAACTAGAACTCTTAGAGGAAATCCTTTGAGCTGTGGCTGGAGAGTTGTAACTCCTGCTTCCTTTCAGTGTATTACACTGTGGGAAAACAGGACTAGGACTTTTTTCATGGGACTGAAGCTTCCTTGAGTTCATTATTTTAAGCACATAAATTGAGCAAAAAGCACTTGTGACCTTACATGACCAGGATGCAGAAGATACACGTCAGGATGCAGAATAATAATTTTGGATGTACATATAACAAAGTTAGTTCTAATTGAAGAGCAATAAGATAAAATGAATGTAATTAGCAGTCCAATAATCCATGGAAAGTGAGTTCTACCTTTCATGTTTCTTACATTATGCCTGTCTACAGTACTGTTGGTGACTGTGCAGACTTCCTACAGCAATACTAAGGCTACAGTAAGTGTCTTCATGTAAATCTTGCAGTAATACTATTTGTCTTACTTCAGAGAGAAAAAAAAAGAGGGGATTCCACCTATGAATACTAAAGGGTGGAGACTGGAGAATCTTCTCATTACTCTTGCATTGACAGGTCTCCACATGTATTCTCATGGTTGACCAGTTTCTTCTTTTGACATCTTTCAACATGAGGGAATTTTGAGCCTTACAGGACCACTTTTATCCATCAAAATGGCATGATCTCATTAAGACATTATTAAAAAAAAAAAGGTTTGATACCTATCTGAGTTCACTTAATTAAATATTGTATAAACAAAACTCAGTTGGGATGATCTGAACATGGTTTCCAGTGCTAGAGTCTATGATTTTTTTTGAGGTTGCTAGCTTTAGACCATCTCATTTCCTGCAAAAAAAAAGAACAGTAACTTTTTTAAGCAAAAAGAGAAAAAAAATACTCAAGTTGAAATCTACAGGAGAGTCTCAGATATGTCAGTGCTTTCTGTGTGTTTGACTTTATTGGTGGAATTTTACACAGAAATTTCTAGTAAACTTGATAACATTGAAAGGGGGGAAAGGGAAAAGGACCCAATGGTTTTTATGTTATGGGCCTCTATTAACTGTACAGAGATCATTGAAAGTGAAGCCATTTATTTTCTACTGTCAGCAAGGCTCCTACCTCTTATTAGCCACCAGATCACCAATGATGCAACTATAAAATAAGAATGGAAGAGTCTGCTACCATTTAGTAAAGAGGTAAAATTCAGTAAAAATTATGTATTTCTGCACTGACTTACAGACTGGAAACCAATCAGTGTGTCAAATTAATATTATCTTGAAAAGCAAAGAAACAATCGATTCAAACTTCCAGTGAAGAAGCTGGTAAAAAATCAATCCAAGATTTTAAAAGGATTTTTATAATATTTGAAAAGAATTAACTGAGCATACGTAAACAAGAAATGAAATCTAATTTGGACATACCATAGGAAAATGGATTGTAAGGGATAAGCAATATACAAGATCAATTATCAATATTACACTTCCATTGATGTAACGTTGTCTGTTTAATTCAAGAGCATAAAAACATTTACATCTATTTAAAAGCTGTATTCTTTAACCACACTTTGTCAACAAGGCTTATTTAACTTTCTTAACCAGAGATATGTAAATAGAGAGCTATTCAAATTCTGGATTAACTTTTAAAACCCCAGAAAAATTGTAATGACTTAAACAAATTAATTAAGAAAAGCAGAAAAAACTATTGTAAAGTCTATTACTAAATAACCATATGTTAATCTGACACCATGAAGACCCATTAGTCTAAGTGCACTTGTCCACTGCTAATCTATCTGGGTATCCAGGCCTTCTACTGCTTTCTCATGGCAAGGAAAGATCTTTCTGTTACCAATTACCTTGCCCATAATATGTGTTTGTGTGCTCAAAGTTACCTGAAATTTGTGTATCAGTCTTCACTCTCCTCTAGAAACAACCAATTTATCTGTGATTAAAATCACAGGCAGAAATGGATGAGGCTTCAAATATCTGAAACTGTACTTCTAATATGTTCTTCCAGGAATCAGGAAAGATCAATTGCCTGACACCATGTTGATTTAATATTTTGAAGAAACTGTTCTGAAATAAAGATTGCTTCAGACTTAAAATTCAGTAGGATCATTTACCAGCTTCATTTATTTTTCTTTTTGATAGAAGTGCTTGTTTAAGGTATCTCTTTGTGATTTAAACAACTTCTTGTTATAAAAATATTTCTGCAGTCTTAGGTTCATCTATGTAGCTGGCTGCTGACGGACAAGAAACAGAATGCCTCCTTCCTCCCCACCTTTGACTTTTATTGTCAGTGTTGATTATTTATTTTAGTGCTTC